CTAATATACGGGCGGACAAACATTTAATATTCTAAAATTTTTATATATGTGTATTTAAGATAACCCTCTTATAGTGAAAAATAAACTAAATTATATATGTTCTATCCCCAGGGAAATCTGTCTATTTTTTACGATACAAAACGAAATAAAATAATAAATTTATTTAAATTGTTATTTATGTATTGATCCGTAATAATTCCATTAAATTAAAATATCAACGAAATAAAATACTGCTTTTCTAGCTTTAATATAATAAATATATTTTTTACATTTTTATTTGGGCCCCTATTATAAATCGTAAAAGTAAAAGCAAAAACAATATTATTTTAGGTAAAATGATACGGCAAAACACTCTAATAGGTACGAAATTTCAACTTTACAAATATTTAATATCTCTTAATGTAACATCAACCGAAAATGGCTTTACTGGGCCAAGGGTATATTTAGGTCAATTATTATTGAGTGGGTACACACACTGTTTTTGACCATAATCAAAATATTAATGAAGTATCAGAGAATTTTTTAATTTATTTTTACATATTACTCCCGGCGCATTCGCCATTTTTGCAACTTTTTATAATTTATTATAGGCATTTCCTGAAATTTACTTTCTGTAGAAAATTATCCCTATAACACATAGTTTGTCGTGGAAAATGCCTTCCTGTGATTGATTTTTTGCTTTCTATAGAGATCATTTTGTTTGGAATCGAAAGTATCATTGGTATTGTTAAACAATAGTTTAAAGTAAAAATAAAAAAGTGTTTTATAAAACTTTTGATATGGGTTAAAATAAGTCTCCATCTGTCTAGATTGCCATCAGAATGGGTGTTGGAGAAACTATCATTAAATGAGACTAATTAGGTCTCAGTGAAGTTTGCGCTTAGGGTCGAAGTTAAAGAGGATCTTTTAACCTTTCCTGAAACTATTGTTTTATTTAAATGGCAAGCCAGCGAAACTTTTTTCGATAATCGTCGCACGAGCGACATAAAACAAAGAAGATCGTACTTATTGATTCGTGATAGCAACAAGTATGTTTGTAAAAGATAAATAAATTCATATCTTATGTGTTATAATTGAGCGGAGCCTTTGCTTGGGTTTTATTAAAGAGCTCTCTAAATAATTACCAAACAAAAATGCTTTATACGAAATGCTGGAAAAAAATGTTTACCTTTGTTTTGAGAGTCAAACAAAAAGCAATGGAAAATATCAACATCAATAAAAGAAATTTGCCTGAGAAAATTTATTTGAGTCGTTTAAGTTTATTAGAGCTTGAGTAAATAAAACTTTGAGTACAGCTTTTTTTCAAGCGATAAATAATTTTTTTCTTACTTCTGCAAAGGGTCAAATTTAATCAATATGTCCTGTTTTGCGATAGGTTGAAATTTTTGCATATCTACTTATGTATTCTGACAGCCCAAGAATCAATCACCTTTGGATTTAAAAATTCCATGCACAACCCTTGTTTATTTATTTTGCTGCCGCAGCAAGGACCTTTTATAGGTGTTTATCTATTTTTTATGGTGCGGGTAGTCCTTAAATTAACTTTATCTTATGTTTCGTTGACATAACCTAGAACAGTGCTAAAATATATGCGCAAACTTCGGTCCGTGACTAAAACGCAATAAAGCCACAACTTGTCATTGTGTATTTAAAAGGTCACTTAGTGTCAGGAAACACAATATAAATACAATTAACAAGTAATTAAAAGTGATTTTTGTTTTCCTAAATATAGTAAAATATAGGTTTACTTATTATACCTAGGTATAATAAGAAAACCTACATTTTACTTTTCTATGTGGATACAAATAGGAAATTCAACTACCTGTAGGTAAACAATACACCTGCAGCGTTGGATTCAATAATTCAATGTTTTATATTGAATTTTTCAAAATAAACTAATTAAAACACGAAGCCTCTAATCAAAAGTTTCAAATTAAACAAAGAATTTAAAAATAAAATTTTTAAATGACGTTTAACCCGGACCACGCTATATAAGTACTTTATGTCAGGGTTTAAAACGCCGTGTTAAAAATTTAAATTTAATAAACCTGCACATAAAATAAATGCAGAAAATTAAATAAATTACTATTTACAATAAAATACTTGCAAATTATTTAAAACATGCATATATATATGTATACATACGTACGTATGTGCTCTTTGATTATAAAAATATAAATAGTTATGTAATTTTAAACTATAATTACTAAATCGCATGTTTTTTTACACATTCAGAAAAATATTATTATATTATATTTCATGTTTTAAATTCAAATATACATAGGTTAATTATAATATCCATTGAGCCCCAACCCATTTTAAATATAAATAATTAAATATGCATATGGCAAATAATTTTAATTGGGTTCGTCTTTGATTTTATGTAAATTTAAAACTTAAAAAGACTTAGTCAATCATAAACTAATGCCTTTTTGTTCGTAGTATTAATAACCAGGGATCATAGATCTATGGTAATTGTTTATTGATTCAATAAAAAATAATCATAAACCAATGTCTATCGTTTATAATAAATAATAATAACATCCTTTCATATATCTATGTTCGCTGTTTATTGATTTAACGTTGTAATCATAAACTTATGTCCAACGGTCGTTATATTAATGCTCATGCTCAAAGTTTATTAATTTAACTTACAGGATTCATAAGCTAATGTAAATCTGTTTATAATATTAATTACTGTCAAACATAGATATATGCTCATTATTCATCAATTTAACGTACAGCAATCGTAACTTAATGAATAAGAAAATTTACGAACGTTTGTTCATTGTATTAACAACAAATTAATGTTGTCGTTTATTGATTTGATTGACAAGTCATTAGAAAATTAGATGGACGAACAAGAAAGCATGTTGGTTTATGAAGGACTCAGAAACTCAAAAGTTATTAATGGTTGTTTTTAATTGAAAGCCCTGTATAAAATACACTTTAATAATTATTTTTTAAGGGCTATTCTTTCTTCTTCTATTGAAAGTAAAGGGTTTATCGTGGCTTAGTTGTGTTCCCAAATATTTTGCCTCAACATAGCTGTGCAACTATTTATGTTATTCGCGTATTGTTCGTTTAAAGCATTCTTAAACTTTCTATAAAAATCCCCAAATAGAAAACTTTAATACAGTATTTGAATCTGTTTGGAATTACACAAAACATTGCAAAGCCTTTTTTTTAATATTTAAAGGGAAAAAAGTAAAAATCCTATTAATTAAGCTAAACCTGTTAAAAACACATTTTCCACTAAGAATTTTACTGTATAAAAAAATAAAATTATTTGATTGTTTTTTTCTAAAGTTGTAGTTCTACCTTTTTATTGCCTATTTTAGAAAAAATTGACTTTTTCTTTAGAGTTAAATTTATCAGTGGAAAATGTATTTTTTCTACTCCCACCTTTAAAACGCCCTTTATCGTACATGTTTCCATGACACTAAGTTACCTTTTAAATACACATTGACAAGTTGTGGCTTTATGGCGCTTTAGTCACGGGCTGAAGTTAGTTTTAAGTTAGTTGACAGTTGTCAAATGTCATACAATCGTTAAAATAAAGTGCCTTTCTTGTAAAATAATACTATATGTGAAAATTATTTTATTATTATAAAAGTATTAAATAGTTTCTCAACGCCAATATTTAAAAAGTTTATATGAACATTGTACTGACCTTTCAATTTCACCGGCAGTAAACTATAACTTAAATTCGGGCATGGACTCCACTGTAAAGTCCTCATAAAACATTTTCTTTACTTTCACTGTGAAAAACTGTAAATTTTCGAGAAATACATTTCGATTTATAACCTTTATAATCTGTGTTTATAAAAATGTGACATTTGACGGTGACACACAGATTCCCCTATTGTTTCATAGATGGCGCTCTATACAAATTTTTGATTTAAATCATTTTAAGATAATAATAAGTATTTGTCGTAGAAAAAGTATAGTATGCACCTCGTTTATAAACTTTTCTATACACTCATTAATTTTAGCAAATTAAATTCATGAATAAAATGGCGTTTATCAAACTTGATACATAATATACTATTTTATACGTTATATAAAATATAGTCTATTTGGGTAAAGTAATATTATAAATTTTAAAAGTTTAATTTTGTCAATACATTCTTAAGGAGTGATCTCTAATAAATCTTTCCGAAAAGGGTTCATGTTTATTTTGTATTGAGTTTAAAAGATTTCAAGTGTACGCTACAAACAACAAAGTTACACATTGTAACGAGTTTAAAATAAAATAAAATACTTGACTAAACAAGGAAGGTTATTTTTAGCTTATTTAGTGTATTTATATCGGCTTTAATATATGTACACTTCATTTATTGAGGCGTATTCATATTTTGATTAATAATTAAAACTAATAGACTGTGTTCCAAAACGTAACCATATTATGTACAAACAGAAATAGTAATAATGCAGTTCCCGCATGGCTTCTAAACTATAAACAGAATTGCTTAATTACCTGAATTGTCATCTTTTGATTGTTTAAGGTACTTAACCAATTACGCAAAACCGAAATTATTATCGTATTACAAACGATCGCACCCATACAAATAAGACAATTTGATTTCACTAAATTAAGGCTATTATTCATTTTCATATAAAATTAAATTAGTTGGTAACGTTCTAGAAGAAAATGTCCCTATCAAATATTTGCGGAGAGAGTTTGTTGGAAGAGCGATATTTCAAGCAAATGCCCATAATTTTTCTGGCTTCTATATAATGGAATTAGAAAATTGAATGGCTGGTATTTTGTGAATATAAACGGAACCTTTACAAATTTAGTTGTTTTCCTTCCTCAATGTGGGACGAGCAAATTATCTTTACACAAATACCTTGTTTCAGTCAAACCGCGAACACAATTACTGTTATAGAGTAAAATAGCTTTTCCTTTAAAGTTGCACCAAACAGAGTGCTCTAATTAAAATTTGTTTCCTACACGCTAAAATTAGATTATATAATACGGTTGTTTTCTTTTTTAGTTGATTATTGACATTAATGGGCAGGTGGCCTTATTTAGGGACTTGCTAATACACATAGGGCAGGCTAGAGATTGCCCTGAACTAAGAGAAAAAATAAGAAAATTGAGAAGGAACTGCGTAGAAGCCTGCAAACACACCAGCCAATTAATTTTACCCCAATTACGAAGGTAAGTGCAAAAAACTGTATCAATCCACAGTAATTCTAGGGAAAATTTTGACGGGTTGCATATAATTATTACATCTTGCTCAAGTTAAGGTGTATCTTGTGTTTAAATCTTATTTTAAAAAAATAGGTTATATGTAGTTGCAGAAGCAAGACAAATACATTTCACTTGGAATACCACGTGACAAAATGAGAGTTTGTTTCTTGTTGGCTTAGTTTCAACACTTGAGTTTACTAATGAGATGTCTTGATTTCTTCTGTTTGTCTTTTGCCACGTAAATGAAGGTAAATACTTGAAAATACACTTGTATATACTTTCAGATTGGGTCAAGATTCGCCACAATATACTGAACTCATTATAATGTTTATTTTTAAAAAAAATTCTAGTCCTATATACCTATTCAACCTGTAGATTAAAATGTTAATTATACACTCATCAACTATACAGGGGTTAGTGCCGGCGAAAAAAAAAACGGAAAAATTGGTAAATTTTCAGAAAAATTGACTTATTGACATTGTTTTAATTTTATTTAAAGGGTAAAAAAAATTAAAGTTAATTTTTCTGAAAATTTCCAAAAATCTGTAGGTATATCAAACATTTAATATTTTATATTTTAAAATTTATACTGTTTATAATATAAATAATGTAAAATTGCATAAATATCCAAATGTGGTAATTATTGCCTATATTACTTATAATTTATAAATTTTAATAGGTTTGTGTGTTCAGCCCCCCTCCCAGGAGGGTTTTAAATAACAATTTTCACTTGAAATACTGAATAATAACCTAAACATACATATATATTCTTTTATATATATCCTGCTCACGGCCCTGTATTAATGTATAATACATTATATATTCACTAATGGGTAAATGCATTGAATGCAAACAAAAAAAATAAAAAATTTAATGTTTGAACCATTGTTGTTATTTCTATTACAGGTAACATGCCATAAATTATACCTACAATAATGCAATCCTGAAAAATAATGGCTTTATTACTTTTTTCATTTCATACAAAATAATAAATAAGTCAATTATGCTATACATTTAAAATATTTTTGCTCTTATTATTCCTTTTAATAAAATATTTACATATTTACCAATAATGAATTGTTTGCTTTTCATAGAAAATGATCTTCTTAGAAAACAATAAACCAATCAGAGCACGGTATTCTCCATCGTGCTTTGAGAACGCCGTGCTCTTATTAATTGATTTATTTCTACAGAGATCATTTTCTTATATAAAATGGCATAAATTATATATAGCTACCTACAATAATCTAATCGTGCAAATAAAGTTTTTTGCTTTAACAAAAGTCACGTTAAGTGGGTATTTATACCCAAAGATACATATCATGTAAATTGAATGAGCCCAAGCACGCTTGTAACGAGTTATGCCTAAAAATATCGTATTTATCAAAAACCTTTTATGATTTATTATATTTTCGATAATGCTGAAATAATCTGATTATGAGACCGTCTAGACTTACCATTAATTATTATTATTATTGAAATAATAGTTATACACAATTGCAATACCTAATATTATACACTGTTATAATTTTACTAAACATGTTTAGGAAGTTTTTAGGCACCGCAATATAGTAATAATAAAACTCAGTTTTGTAAATTCACTACACGATTCATTACAGATCAATTTGGCAACATTACAAAACGTTTGTTGAAATTTACTAAGCATTTATTAAAAATTTGTTCAGTAACATTACTATACAGTAGGGTGGGTCAAAAAAACCGACTATTTTTTTTACTTTGTACTCTGAAAAATCGGTTACTAGACAACTCTAGAGAATTCTCACCAAATATGAGCTCTTAATTTTGATAACAAGGTCCTCCGCTTTACAATTTTCCATTTTTTCCTCAGTATTAGAAACAAAAATTTATATCTCTTCGACAACTGTACGTTAAAAAATTAGTCTCCTCATATTCTTGTAGGAAATCGAACGCTCTACAAAAAAGGTCTCTTACAATTTTTTCGTAAACTTCACCGTTAAAAAGATATCGAAGGTTAATGTTTAATTATTTTAAGAGAAATTTCTGTTTTGCTCATGAATTTTATAACTCGCTTACAAAATTTTTTTATGAATCGCGCAACTCATAGTTTTGTAGGAAATTAACTGCTCTACAAAAATGGTCTCTTAAAAGATATTCATCGTCAAACTTCAATGCATACTAATTTTAACAGTTTTTGATCAATAATTCGTAAAATTTCAATTTAATTTTTGAGTTTTACGTCATTTTTTGTTAAGCATTGGTTATAATCATCGACTAATGCAACAGCTCGCTCTGCCGAATCATTAACAACTTTCAATTGCTTATGATTTTAAGTTATTATAAAGATAAATTTCATGAAAATATTATTAAAATAAAAAAGTCTCAAATAAATTTTCGAAAGGGAAACTTTTATAACAGTGCGCGATTCATAAAAAAAATTTGTAAGCGAGTTATAAAATTCATAAGCAAAACAGAAATTTCTCTTAAAATAATTAAACTTTAACCTTCGATATCTTTTTAACGGTGAGGTTTACGAAAAAATTGTAAGAGACCTTGTAAGAGCGTTCGATTTCCTACAAGAATATAAGGAGACTTATTTTTTAACGAACAGTTGTCGAAGAGATATAAATTTTTGTTTCTAATACTGAGGAAAAAATGGAAAATTGTAAAGCGGAGGACCTTGTTATCAAAATTAAGAGCTCATGTTTGGTGAGAATTCTCTAGAGGTGTCTAGTAACCGATTTTTCAGAGTACAAAGTAAAAAAAAATAGTCGGTTTTTTTGACCCACCCTACTATACAGGTATTGTAATTTTGCTAAAAAAATACTAAATATGTTTAGTAATTATACTATACAATTCATTTCAACTCAGTTTAAGAAAATTACTAAATATATTTTACAATTTTACTGAAGTGAAGAAATTTTTTTTCGCAATATTATAATACAAATACATGTAAAGATTAAAAAAATTGAACCTTTACCTCCACTGAGTTTTTGTTTTAATTGCGTTCCACCAACAAATTGTATTGGAACACACCAAAACGAAAGACACCTGAGCTTATATACTGTCCACCTAAGTCAACCGAGGCGAGATGTAAGAACATCACGTGATTTCTGCAACCGGTACATACTATGCATTTTACATATGCTTTTTATTAGAAACTGTCAAACTGTTTAGTAAAATTACAATGCGTGTAGGATTTATACATATAGATTGTAAAATTACAACTTATCTTAGTAGATTTCCCAACATGTCTTGGAAGATTACTCAAATTTTATTATAATTTTTTATTGGTGTACACTGATTTGTAATTTTACTCATCCTTTGTTTTGCAAACAATTGTAATTTTACAAAAAATTTTAACAGTGTGGGATGCTTCAAAACTCTATTAAGGGCTTTATAGGTATTTGGGAATGTAAAAATAAAAAGTAACAGAGGCCATCTTCGTACAACGAATAAAAAATTATTGGGGTTTTTTACGAAAGATTTAACGATTTAGCAGCTATAAATTTAAACGTATTTTGTTTTTTCATGATTTATTCACTGATTTCATTCAACCGGTGGCAACCCAATTATTCATACATAATATAATAAACTTCCACAGTGTGATGCAATTTAGACGTTGATGCTCAATTCGGTTTGATAATACCACCGCATAACAAGGAAATTTAAACTAAATAATGGCATTTGAACATCGTATACCGAGAACTATTCATGTACATGTTTGTTAATAATTTTGCAATATTTTGAAATCTTTGGGAGATTTTTTCCTTGATATGGATATTAAATAAAAGGGTTTGACGAACTTCAATATGGATGTAACTAACAAAGTAATTATGACGTCAACTTAAGCTAGATATAGTTCGTAGAATTTTAATAGTTTAAGCGTAAAACCATATCGTTTCATGTTTTATGTTTATAGACCACGCGACAATTTTCAAACAATATAAGGTGCCTAAAAGTAATCACCATATAAAATGAATTCAGAATGCGTATGTAAACATTATTAAGTTTCCCTTTCTGTGTAATAGGAATATAAAATTTGGCTACTTTCATAAAGCCCTAACAAGATAAGCATTATAGCCCAAAAAACGGTTTACGTGTTTTCTTGACTTTGGGATAATAGTAATTATAGTAATAACCCCTTAATTTAGAGGGTATTCTATAAATATTTACTATTATTTATTATTCTATATAACTATGTGCATTTTTTTGTAGAGAATAAATTATTTTTTTTGGTAAGACAAGCCATTCTCTTAATTTTTTAAAAATATGTGAAAAAAGTAACAAAAATGAATTCTAAAAGCGTTTAAAACTCTTTAAGTAACAATGAACCCCAATATGATGGGAAAAATTCAAAATGAACTAATTTTTTTTAGATGTTTTAAACAATATTTTGGAGTTTTGGTAAAAAACAAAAACACCCTAATGTACTAATGTAATGTTATTGCAGGAATAATGAATGTTTTATTATTTTTTAGTGCCGTAGCCGAGGGCATTCCCGCAGATAATCCACATCTGGTTTTGCTATTTTTTATGTCTCAATTATTCCTACGTGAACTCACTAAGTGCCATCGACTAGTTCAAATTATACCAATGGATATGTCCGGATATTATGGTAAGAATATTTCTCATTAAACTATTGAAAAAGGAATGCTTCAAGCTTAATAATTAATAAAGCTTACAAACTTTGAAACAACAGTGCAATATTTCCTTAAGAAGGAATATCCATCATCATTTTTTTGTTAATTAATCCTGCTTTTTGTTTGTCTCCGCGATATTAGTCTTTTTGTCAATAATTCTCGTCTCTTTTTAGATAATCGAGCAGGACCATCAAATTTGGGCAACGTTATAAGCCAAATTTTACTATGTAAACAAATCACACCTGATTTCAATCAAGAAGAACTGTGTAGTATAACTAAGGATTCGCAGGAAATTAACAAAATTCTCAAGGAAATGCAAGAGTATATGCCTAAGCAAGAAAATAATTTGGGTAAGCGATAACTTTTTTGGGTAACTTTTTTCAACCCTAACCATGGCCATTCTAAAAATAAAAGCAATCGCCAGTAAACTTTTTGCCGATTTTTGCTCAATTTTAAATTGTATACCTACATCAAAACTTCGTCAAAATTATGTCGATAAAACGATATTGAAAATTAGTTTTTCGTACAGCTCTAAGATTCTCTGCTGTGTGCTTCATTGCGGCTTCTTTCAATTTTTTTATTGTTGGCTTTTGCTCTAAGAGCCAGTTCCAAAAATTCACTCTGAGTGAAAAAGAGGCTCATTTTTACAAACTTTTCTCTGACTTAATTAAACCTGTAAAGTGTCGTTGGATTATCATTCTCTACACTCTAAGAAAATATATTGTAATCCCTAACAATATAGATTTGTTATGCAAAATATGGTTCATTTAATTATAACTTATGGTTGTAATAACAATATACGTAAAATTAGTTTTGTTATATGTACTCTAATCATTTTGTTATAAAAATTTAGTAAAGTTAGATATTTGATTAGGCTATTACAACCATCATGTACTGCTAAACTGTTAGTACTACACTAGATGGTTAAAATTATAAGATTATCTGGTTACAATAACAATATAATGTTGTCACACATTATTAACAATATTTCGTTGTAGTTTTTACTATACAGAAAGTTTATACATATCATACGTATAGTATATTTAACCATATAGAGGGTTATAAGGTATTTGCATATGATTATTATAACTAAATAAATTATTGTTTTGTGCAACAACAAAAATATAGTTAAAGTGACAATAAAACTGTTACAATATAAACATGGTTAACATAACAGTAAATATGGCTGTGCCTATACTAATCAGAATATTTAGTAAAAGTTACTATATATTTGATTAAGATAACCATTGTTTTTTCTCAGTGTAAATCCAAAATGTGTTCCTCCCGCTATCTTAAACTAGGTAGCCGTTTCTCTAGTCCTTTGAACAGAATACAAAAATTAATATTAAATGTCGATAGGGCCCAGTCATATTGTTCATTTCGATTACAGGAAATTGAGTGAGGAAAAGCTACTGAAATCTAAACAGGGCTTTAATACGTTGTTACATGGAATTAATTTAACAATGACAATGATTAATTAACGTTGTACGAGTATACATAGGGTATTTGATTACCTATTGTGATACAGTTTAACATTCTAAAATGATGAAATTTTTTGTTTATTGTTTTTTTTTTTGTAGAACGAACGGCAGCTTTGACGGAGGATCTGACAAGCCAGTGGACCAATAAAACAAGGAGAAACTCTTTATATAAACATATGGGACTTCTGTGTTGTGTAAGTCGTCCAAACTATCTATGACAAGAGAGAGAAGAGCGAAGAACAAATGACGAGACTTAATTTGTTCATCTTTCTCACAAAATTCTTCCAGGGAGGTGTTTCTTGAAATTTTTATAGGATATGATTTCTATAACAATCAGAGCACAGTATTCTCCACAGCACACTAGTTGCGATGGAGAATGCTGTGCTCTGATTGGTATAGAGATCATTTTAAATTAAAGAACTTTAATTTAAAATGATCTCTACCTCTATAAAAATTTCAAAAAACACACCCAGTTCTACTGTAGAACTTCTACATGATGTATATTATCTTGAAGTAATCAAAAGTGCAAAGTATTGAAAACTAAAATTTAATAGGGTTTTTCCTTACAGAATATCATGGCTACATGACCATGAAGCCTAAAGATTGTGTTTTGAATTACCCTTCATTCTATGGGTCCAGTTTATTATTGCTCAATTTATTTAGCTTTACTACTCAATAACACCAAATTTATTAATTTTTACTGCAAACTATTTACAGGGTATTTATTTTTTATTTTATTCTTACAAAATAGTTTTCAATACTTTGCGTGGGTAAATATGTTTAGAAAAAATGTACAGCCATACTTTCAATCATGCAGTTATTGGACAACACTATACAGTAATTAAAAAAATATATTATACTGGGTGTTTTCAACTTGAAACCCATTACGCACACATACTTATATTTCGAGTACAAAAACGTAATAAAATCATATTTTTTTTGCTGCCACCATTTATACAGGGTGTCACGTAATAAAATGTCATTCTTTGGAGGGATGATGGTACACGCCAAAACAAGAAAGTTTTTTTTGCATTAGTGCCATTTTTTTAATAAAAAAAATCATTAAAAGATGACAACTTATTTGGTAACACCCTGTATACATTAGGCCCTAATGATTAGGGTGATTTAAAAATCTACTATTCTTTTTTTTTACATTAAAAATTGCAATTTTTCGATATCATAAGTCAAAAAAAAAGAATATTATAATTTTTGAATCACCCTAATATACATATATATGTATATATAGGCATAGTATAATTAGGGAATGAAATCTTGCAAGGAAAATGTACAATCTTGGTATAGCAAGATTTAAGAGGTGTAATCTCGCAAGGTCTCGGTATTTTGCAAGATCTCGCAGATTTAAGATTAATAAAAAAAGAAATTAGTATAATTATTTGTATTACAACTTTGTTAGGTTATATCGTAAAGGCAAAATAATGAAATAAACCATAAATTAAATAATTTATTTAAGACTATTACACTCATTACTTTATGGACCAATCAGATTTCAGAAAACGAGTATTTTTTTCAGTGTTGCAGCGATAAAACTAGTCTTGCCGAATACCACCCGTAATAAAATTTTCCCTGAAAAAATTTTTGATTTTTCTTTACTCAAGATTTTTCCAAGAAAAAAAGATTCGTATTAAAATCAAAATTTTATCGGTAAAATTTTAGCACTAGTAGTATATAATATTATATACGAATAATCATCAAGCTATTGAAGCAAGACTAAAATTATTTATTGAAAAAACTATACATTATTTTGAAAATGACTTCTTAAAAAACACAAAACACACATGGGATGCGCTGCTTCCTAATCTCGCAAATCTTGCGAGATCGCGCATGATTTTCGTGCAAGACGTGCGAGATCTTGGTATTTCGAGATCTTGGTATACCAAGATTGCATTCCCTATGTATAGGCTTAAATGTTTTGATAAATTCTCCTAAAACTAGTCGTTTATTTTGCTCAATTATTTTAATTAAAGGTGAGAATGAGGCAATTATCATTACAATTTTCGGCCTATTTTCTGCATTCATTAATTGTACAAAAACCTAATTAACATAGTCAATATTATAATAATTATATAGGTAGATCAAAAATATCGTTTTACAAAATATACTGTTCTCTATAATAATGTTATAGTTTACGCTCAAAAACAAAATTAACGACCAAAAATAATTTAATTTTATTATAGATATTTTAGTAAAATTGTTAACACCATTTATGAAATACTATTTTCACTAGGTATCTAAGCCTGGGGTTTGTTTTTAAAAATTTGCGACTTTATTTTCTATAGAGATCATTTTCTACATAAAGTAAAATTGCAAATTTGAAAAACATCCCTTGTATTGTAATTTTAAAAAGTAAAATATTTAAAGTGTTTGATCTAAAATAAATAGTTATAAAAGCTATTTTCGACCAAAAACCACTTATTGTTAAGTTGGTAAATGTTTATAAATATATTTTATATTATAATAGTATAATGTATATGCAATCATATGCGCTATATAGATACTATAGATATTTATATATGTAAATGTAGAAGACTAAGCATTTAATCTGTATAGACAATTATTATTCTTAAAATAACCCAGATAACAATCGTGATTTTCTGAAATCAGAGTGATGCGTTTAAAAAAGATCAAGTCAGAATGATTTTCATTTGTGGGCTGTTTTATTTTCTCCCTGTATGATAGCACCACTGATTCAAAGGATGACAATATGAATTCATAATTGTTATCTGGTAGGTAAAAAATGCGGACATTTATTTATTTTACCTTCTGGATGTACAAATTAATGCTAAAACAACGTTGTAAGAAATAAGGTTTGGCCATATTGGTGGTAACAACTTTGTTCCAGCATAGCATTTAAATATCTGATAGTGGATATGTTTGCTGTTAGAAACTAAAAAAATGTTGTTCAATAATTATCATTATACACCAATTTTGAAAACCTACATCACCAGTATATAAATTTATCCTACCGCGGTTTATATTGTTGTATTGATGTAGTAGAGCCCTAGAATATCTTAGAAAAAATATTTATATAATAAGTATTAACTCTAGAGTCTGTGATATAGCTGGAAAATTAAAAAAAAGTCCGTCAATTTGTATCTTGTAAACAAAATTGTAAGTGAATTAGTTAAATTTTTTTTAATCGGCAATTTATGTAAATAAGTGGTGTTTTCTGGCTAAATAATATTTCGCGTTACCTATACACTAACCAACTCGTTGTATATGTGTAGGTACTAAGCTTTAATCTTCATTAGATTGGCAACATGTGAATCGTTAACTGCTGATATAAATATACTTCTTTTGTAAATGATTTTTTTACTCCGGGCCATAGGATTTATTACTCAAATAGGTTCTTCTGTAAAAACCTGATCACCAGTTTATATAATAATACACTAAATCGTTTGAAGCCTCCACAATTGAGAATTTTTCTGTATTCTTAAACAGTAATTATACTCCACTAAAGTGATTAAAAATCAAATCACCAATTACTACAGTTAGCGATTCCCGTATTGGTAATCATCACTTTAGTATGGGTAACTAAATGAAAAAATACGATTTTTTTGCGTCCAGTAAGAAAAAATTAGACCAATCGCCACCACTCAATAATTCAAATTCAATTATTATCCGATTTGTCAACAATCTATTAACACACTAATTTCTAAAATTGTAAAATATCTGCACTAAATAACAGTCTATATACCTAAATATCAAAATAAATATTGTGATGAAATAATTTAAAGTTGTCTTTATTTACCCTTTTAACAAACAGTACGTCTTGAGACATCATAAGATGCAGACGCATAAGAGACCGCTTCTAAAGAGTAAGGAAGTAATAAAATCATCCACTAGCCTAAATCGGGCGTATGTCCCGGCCCAGCGACAAAATTCCGGAAGGGGCCTTAACCATGGAAACTGTTATCCACGACCTTCTAAGAGAGATTTACAAGCCAGGGTGAAAATGCGGATCCACCAAACACAGGTAATGCGGGATATGTATGAGAAATGAAAGTTGATAAAAAAACAACTTTGGGAGATCAGTGTACGCTCTTACAATTATACTCATACTCATTTACCCCTTTAATAAATGAACCAAAAACTCTAATAAAAACATTTATTTGGCAAAACTAACATAATAATGGAAAACATAACTAATTCACAATAAAACGTCTTCAGCTAAAGTTTCAGTAGCTTCAATAATCAAATTAAAATCTAAATCAGTCAAGCTCGCTTTCGCCGTAAGCAAATCCAAAAAGGTATCCAATGGGGAAGAGTTATTGAAGGAAGGTGCTGAAATACCTCTAAATCCTTTGGACTTTTGGTTGCCATGCGCTCTTCCTGCAGGTCCTGCTACTCCAGACAAAATATTCAAGGAGTGTTCTCTAGCCCTCAGCATTAAACTCAACGGGTGGTTCCATTGATTTAAAAGCCTCTTGGCCCTAGATCTAGGCAAAAGGCTTAGTAACTTAAACCTCCTATCTGTATTTATCTTGGAGTTGTCCAAATCTAAAAAACCAAACAAAAATAGTATCAAAAATTGAGAAACATCGTATTATAACTACTATTATTAATTATTACCTGTCATAATAATTTTCATTACATCTACTTGCAACTCAAATACATTCCTAGTAACGTACTGCAAAAACATATCAAAGGATAATGTTTTGTAGCCCAAAAATGTGAAAAATGACGTGAACCCTTGGGGTAATGGAAACGCTATTGACTCCACGGCTAAATAGTACCTCTCCAGGATGGTAAACAAAATATATCGTCTTTCTTCTGACAAATCATTTCTGAAACATAACATTTTAATGAATTTGTATAAAATTAAAGAAATCCTTACATGTAAACGAATCCTTTATCCAGATCGTGTCTTGGTTCATAGGTGGCAGCTTTGCACAATATTTGACATAAATATCTGGATTGATCCAGTTGAGCTGTAACATATCTTGTTGCTACGGCATGTACGTGCATCGGAGTTTGTAGCTGCCATTGAAACCTCGTTATTTTGTTTTCGGCGCTTTGTTTTAATAAATGCATACTCAATTCGCGCAAATTCTAAAAATACCGATGAAAGGCGTGAAAGGATTATTCAATTCGTTACTTACGACTGAAATAATGTGCTCCTGCTTACTGGCTGTACAATTGTCTACTTCGTAAAAAGGCAAAGCATCAGCTTGATTTCTACCTTTACCGAATTGATTGCTCAAAAATTCATTCAGGCCCGTCGAACTTACACTACCCGGCGACATGGGGGTGCTAGATCTAGATAATACTTCAGGCTAAAATGCTGGTACATTAAACAAAGCCTAAGGTGATTAACAAATGAACAAACCTGATAGCAAACTAAGGAGATTATCAGTTTATCTACAACGTGGCTGTGCTTGAATCTAATTTTACCTTTGGATATTTTGGCCAGTTGTTCCCATAATTTTACCCAAATGTCGCTTCTATAGGGGACAATTCTTTGCTGAGGGGATAACAGCATCATGGAAGCATTCCAAAGCATATCCTGGGATAAGCAAGCAATATGGTTGTCTTGTAGCTTTACTTCCATGTCGTTTCCAATTCTCTGGATTGTGATTGGAAGAAGGTTTATTAAATCGTTTGCGTCTGAAGGTAGGTTTCTTAACACTGAGGCATACGAAGTTCCTATCAAAAACTCACGCAGTATTTGTGGTAAGCCTATAGTGAAAGGTTTTTTAACTTGCCAGGTTATTAGGTCGGCAGCGGTTTCTATATCGCTTCTATGGAGGATAAGATAATGCATGATGGAGAGTTTATTTTCCAAAAGTGTATCACTTTTAAATGTATCCACGAAAATCTTCGTTGGTATAGTAATATCATATAAATCTAAGGTAGCTAAATTAACTACGTACTCGTCACCAAGAGTTACCAAAGGAGTTAACATTAAATCATAATTTTCATCCTTCGTAATAATCGGTTTAATAGTAATATGGCAGCATGGTTCATGCATTACCCCTATATCCAGTAACTGGGTACACATACCAGCTATAAAGACCAATAAATGATTACCATGCAGTTTAAATAGAGGCCTAATGGTTTTAGCTTTATTCCATGGTATTTCCGGTATAACGCAATGCATCACGCAACTTTGATGTAAAACTGTTACTGAATAAGCCATATGGACGGGAGCTTCATCTTCCTCTTTGAGTTCCTTTTGCGGCAGAATAGGCTGGTAGAGATAATTGTGGCAGATACAAACTATCCCACTGGAGTTGGTTAACACAACAAGTTCCAAGGAACAGTCGTGTATGCGTAGAGGTACCGTATCATCTTCATAGATTCGATGAGAGTTTGATACTGATGAAAGATGGGGTAAATTTAGGGGGATATTCAGCTAAAACAATACAAAATATAGTTATATGTAAACCAAGCATGAACTTAATCTTACAACACTCTCATGTGGTAGATCATCATGAAACTGAAGCCCTGATAATGTAGGAGATACTTTGGTTCCCAAGTCAACTGGTGCTCTCTCCTCGTCTTCCACAAGCCCTCTAATGGGTTTTTTAAAATGTATGTAATACAAAGTTTGGTGTATGGGGTCCCACTGGGCCCATATAAAAGTCCTTACTAAGGACTCGTAGGTAAAGCTGTCGTTATTCAATGTAATACTGTCGTTTTTAATTTGATACTGCAGAATGCATTCTTGATGAATTAAAATGAGAAATTTAACAGGTTGATTCTCAGACAAAACCGACTGTTTGTGATATAAAAATTGCACCATAACTTGCTTCGACCTCTCTAATTTCAAATCGTACAACTCTTCATTGCTATTTATTTTATAAATAAATGGTTTATATATAAAATTTTGCTCGGTATTTTCATCGGTAGTTATCTCTTTTATCACCAAAGATAAATAGGTCCTATTTCCGTTTATGGAAGCCTGAATACAATTGACTTGCTTTTCAAATGTGTACAAAACATTCAAAGTATTCTTCGAAACCGAATATATTCCCACTTGAGTTTTACTTGATTGAACCCAACTGAATAATAAGCTATCGTCGTGTTCCTGGCCCAGCAGCCTCCATTCCGTAGCATTTTCTAAAAATAAAATACCATATTTCATTAGAAGCTTCCTAAGGCTTATGAACAGTTTAATATACCGTATTTTATAGTTAAAGTATACAGTGCCGAGTGCCAAAGGCTTAAAAGAGAGTGGGGATTCATCGTCTAGCATCATTTCTCCCAAGTTTAATAATATTATCAATATTTGATGAAATTGACAATTATATTGAAGTCTATATATTGATAATAAAGACAATGACAACATTATTGATCGTGTGCATGAGGGGCCCTTTACAAATGCAAAGACCACTGCGCAAAATATCCCCACTTTCTTTCGCCTTCTTCAGATGCACTAAAGTCTACGGGCTTATAAAAAGTTCGTTACCGTCCTGTCTACGCGAAGCGTCGCGTGCGCCGACTCTGTGCAGCGCACAAAATCAATATCATTAAATAATATAATCTTCAAATATTTATTTATAAACAAAATAAATCGACTGTACTTCATTAAATTAATAATCTACATGGTGTAAATATTTGTTTAGACAAGTATTATATACATACCACTAGGATTTCTAAGCAAAATAAGGGTATTTAATTTGTACGCAAAATTATCCACCGTCACCATCACAAAATTTTAACGCAATGTTCCCGAGTTGATTAACATTTATTTACTAGCCTACAGTATTTAATCTTTACATAAATACATTTTATTTATTAATAGGTAGATAAGATGCATTTCAATTTTATTGCATTTATGCAATACCTTATTTAATTTATAAACATGACTTTATTATACTAGAAATACATGTTTTTAAGTTTAGCTTTAATTTATTTGAAATATTTTGTATGTACCTATATAATTAAAAAAACATTTATTTTCGTTATTAAACCGTTCGTTTATGGGTAAACAAATTGATTTATTAGTTGCCAAAGTAACCGCTTGGTTACTATATTACTTATATATAACTAAACAAATGGTAATTATTAATTATTTTAGTAGGCATTATATTAACTTATCAAAATTGTTTATTTAAAATTCAAATATATTTATAATTGGGTTTTTTTTCGTAATGTTTATATTATTGACATTTCACTAAATAGTTGTTCCGTTAGGTTGGTAGGAACAATGTATTTATTTTTATAATAAATAAAAATAAAATTACCTATACAAATTGGTTCATTAAAGCCTACAATTTGGAAAACTGAAAATGCTGAATATGAAGTAAAGCACACTTTATTTTCTACAACGGTGGATGGCAAAGTAGTTAACTACTTGAATTCAAGGGAACACCACAGATTATAAGGAACACCTTCAGCAGCTTTTTGTGTTCTTTGTGGATTAAATGATTAAATCCAACCGAAATGAAAGCTTTAGAATATGTTAAATAAAAAGGTATTTTATTATTTTAATTTTCATTTAAATCAATCGCTCAATTGCAGGCAACTGTAACTATTACGAATTTAATATACAAATAACCACAACCTTGTGGGTTGTGTCGGTTGTGTAAATAACATAAAAACCTCAAAATCCATAAAAACATTACTTGTGCCCTTCAGCAATCACCGATTTAAATAAAAAACCAATTTGTATCGGAAATTTTATTAAAATATTAAAAATAAATACATTAGCAGTGGGATTCTGTAAATAAAAGAAATAGAAATGGAAATAGAGATAGCAAAGAAATAGAAAGACATTTCCTTTTTACAACCTATTCTGTATGACGATTTCTTTCTTGGCCGACGGTGTTCGGTTTTTAGATCGGTAATGTTCGACTGAAAGAAATTTACTGTACTACCTATGTTAAAAACATTCATATTCTAGTAACTTTTTAAAAATCCCTAAGATTTGTACCAATTTCACATAGTAATTTTTCGTTTTTAAGTTTAAGGTACTAAAAAATGGTTTTAACCTAAAAATAATAATATTTATTCTATGGTTATAATACTTATTTTGTGATTGTTTATAAATCTTTTTTTTAACCATGCTCGTAACTGTGTTGAAAGTTGCATAGATCTGTGGAAATCGAGATACAGTCCGCAGGTTTGTGGCATAATAAATGCATGTGTTGTGCTGCACAATATTTGTGTACGAAACGGCATGCCGTAACGTTAGTCCAATTCATTGTTCATTGAAATATAAATTAACAATTGCATTTCGCGAACGGACTTCTTCATTTAGAACATTGTGCTCACCAACAATTGGATCATCTAAGGGGATGCATGAGTCCGTTCGCGAAATGCAATTGTTAATTTATATTTCAATGAACAATGAATTGGACTAACGTTACATCGTCAAGAAACAAACTGAAATGATCAATAATATATTTAATAATAATAGCTATTATTATTATTTTATTTGCTAATTATTTCATATAATATATATTGCTTAAAAAAAATGATGTGATGTTTTTTTAGATTTAATAACTATTTATGTAATTTTTATATCTATTGACATGTGTAACTTAACACGAAATAAATAATTGAATTGAATAGTTAGTATAGTATATACTTACCTACATACTTTTTTTATATACTAAAATACTTTGTTTTGCTTACGTATACCGAAAGAATTAAAATATAACCTTTAAAAGTTGCTTATTTATGTTGGAAATGTCAAAAACCCTCTTTCTATTTCTATCCGTTCGGCTACGAACGATGGTTCACGGAAACGCACGAAGTGACTTACAGAATAGCGATTTGGTAATAAATATAGAAAGAAATTTATTTCTATGCTCTATGTGCTTACAGAATCCCACTGTAGCAGTGGGATTCTGTAAATAAAAGAAATAGAAATGGAAATAGAGATAGCAAAGAAATAGAAAGACATTTCCTTTTTACAACCTATTCTGTATGACGATTTCTTTCTTGGCCGACGGTGTTCGGTTTTTAGATCGGTAATGTTCGACTGAAAGAAATTTACTGTACTACCTATGTTAAAAACATTCATATTCTAGTAACTTTTTAAAAATCCCTAAGATTTGTACCAATTTCACATAGTAATTTTTCGTTTTTAAGTTTAAGGTACTAAAAAATGGTTTTAACCTAAAAATAATAATATTTATTCTATGGTTATAATACTTATTTTGTGATTGTTTATAAATCTTTTTTTTAACCATGCTCGTAACTGTGTTGAAAGTTGCATAGATCTGTGGAAATCGAGATACAGTCCGCAGGTTTGTGGCATAATAAATGCATGTGTTGTGCTGCACAATATTTGTGTACGAAACGGCATGCCGTAACGTTAGTCCAATTCATTGTTCATTGAAATATAAATTAACAATTGCATTTCGCGAACGGACTTCTTCATTTAGAACATTGTGCTCACCAACAATTGGATCATCTAAGGGGATGCATGAGTCCGTTCGCGAAATGCAATTGTTAATTTATATTTCAATGAACAATGAATTGGACTAACGTTACATCGTCAAGAAACAAACTGAAATGATCAATAATATATTTAATAATAATAGCTATTATTATTATTTTATTTGCTAATTATTTCATATAATATATATTGCTTAAAAAAAATGATGTGATGTTTTTTTAGATTTAATAACTATTTATGTAATTTTTATATCTATTGACATGTGTAACTTAACACGAAATAAATAATTGAATTGAATAGTTAGTATAGTATATACTTACCTACATACTTTTTTTATATACTAAAATACTTTGTTTTGCTTACGTATACCGAAAGAATTAAAATATAACCTTTAAAAGTTGCTTATTTATGTTGGAAATGTCAAAAACCCTCTTTCTATTTCTATCCGTTCGGCTACGAACGATGGTTCACGGAAACGCACGAAGTGACTTACAGAATAGCGATTTGGTAATAAATATAGAAAGAAATTTATTTCTATGCTCTATGTGCTTACAGAATCCCACTGTAGGTGTTTTCGCGGTGCTAATCCCGAACTAGTTCGGATTTAATATTTGTCATGCGCACTTTACATTTTGAACCCCAAATTTTAAAAAGCGCATGCCTAGTATGTTCGGAATTAGCTCCGTGAAAATAGCTAATAGCTATATGCTGATAATTTTATTCTGAAAAGTTCCAAGTTATCGACTTGAGACTGTTATATATATTTTTTTATTCTTAAAAAAACGCATTATTATAATGAAATAAAATTTATCACAAAAATTTTGTTTTCTTTCATTTAAAAATAAAATAAACATGCAATGCACATTCGAATCAACCGCCACCTTTAGTGTCAATGTGCGAACTAGATGGCGTTACACGGTTTCAGCTGACAGTATTGCAGATTGCGTTCTATGGTTTGTTCTGTGATTCTGACAAATGTGTCTGGTGTAATGTTTTTGGTGCTAATGGTGTTGTAATTTTTAATATAATTTGCAGTAGAATCCAATGTCAATCGAACACAACGAGATGCCACAATTGGGGCAAAATTTGGGAAGTGTCCCAGCCTTTTTGGGCAAGCTGTGGAAGATGGTAAACGATCCAGCTACAGACAGATATATTTGTTGGAACAAGGTAAATATTTCCACTGTCTCTAATTATAATGATTTAATTTCTGATAGCAATTACCCTTTGCTAATTATTTAGTCTATGTATTGAATGTGTATGTCACAACAAACCAAAAATGATTTTAGGCTGGAACCAGTTTTGTAATACAGAATAAGGGGCAGTTCTGGTGTGAGTTATTGCCAGTTTACTACAAGCACAACAACATGAGCAGTTTTGTGCGTCAATTAAACATGTGTAAGTACTGTTTTTGTTGTTATTTTTCACAATATTAATTTGTAAAATGCACAGATGGCTTTCACAAACTGTCCACGGTTGAGAATGGCACTATGGACATTGACAAGGGGGAAACCCAATTCACCCACCCCCTATTTAGGAGAAATCAGCCAGACTTGCTGAACTATATAAAGAGAAAGGTAATTTTTAACTGAATTAATTTAATGGCTTATTTTATTAAAAAATTTGAAGGTTACCACACATAAAGCTAATGAGAATGTAAACAAGCAATCCTACAAGGAGGAGGATCTTCTTAAAGTATTGACTGATGTTAAACAACTAAAAGGGCGGCAAAGTAATGTTGATGCCCAATTGACATCAATGAAACAAGAAAATTCTGTACTATGGAGAGAACTCGCAATGCTCAGGCAAAAACACATGAAACAACAGCAAATTGTCAACAAGGTACAAGAAACAAACAAAAAATAAAACATCAAAATCATAACTATCCCTTCCACTTACAGCTGATTCAGTTCCTGGTGACAATGGCTCATACAAACAACTCATCTCGTATGGGAGTTGGGGTCAAGCGTCGCATGCCTCTGATGATTAACGAAAGCCCCCTCAAGAAGGCCCAAAAACAGAAAAAGGAAGCAAAGGACCAAGAAAAAGGACCCACAATACATGAGATTGAAAGCCAGAGATTGCCTGAAGATATTTTTGACACTGACCAACCAATTGTAAGTTTTTATTTACATTCTCTTGAAATACATCATTCAGACCATTATTTGCGTTAATAAATCATATTTGATTTAATATATAGAAGAAATAGGAACTGTCATTTAATATGGACTTATTTTAAATAAGTTATTTATTACTGCAATGTGTTTAGCTCAAATTAATTGTTTATTAGATTGTGAACTTGAAATTTCATTTTGGCCAAGTTATATAATCTTTTTTGTATACTGCAAAACTGTGGCAAGCGATGGTTCTCTGTTCTGGAGGCGTTTTTGAAATTGCGTCTTTACTTTCTATAGAAAGTGATGTCCATAGAAAGCAATAAACCAATCAGAACACAGCATTCTCATTTTTTATGTCAATATCTAATAAATATTGAGTTATCGTAAAAATCCACATTATTTTTTGTTTAAAGGTAATTTCTTTAAATGAGGAACCTATTACCATTACTGATAATAAGGTAATTCAGCAAAAGTTTAGTATAGAAAGGTTTTTGCATGTTAATATATTTTTGTTTTTTAAATTCTGCCTTAATTGAAAATGTAAATTATTTTAGTATTGCAAACACAAATTATGCAATATACTAATATTAGTCATTTGTAAAATGTAACCTTGATAAGCCCTATTAGAAAAACTGAACTTTTAAAATAATTTGCACATTAAAGTAAATTTCACACGTGTTTGAAGACCGTTTTGTAATTTTATTAATATTGTTTTTCTTTAATTAAAATTTTTATAAATACTCAACCTTGGATAACTTTGTTCTTAATTAATTTTCCGAGTGCATTTAATTGGATCAAACAAACTATCTAATTAACAGTAAGGTTGCAATTTGTAGATGAATTAGATTCGTATATTCGCGATAATTTTTTACTGCTCAAAATCAAAGTCGAATGCATTTTACATTAGACATGGTTAATTTTTCATTTAATTTATAACAAGGCCTTTACAAAAGATCTAGATATCGCTTTTTCATAAAGTATATATAAAAATGGTTTGGTGCAGCTCAGTTTTTATCTGAAATTTAGTTTTTGGTTACTTGGGACTGTATTTTGGTATATACAACAAATAATATCCACACACAGATAAAAAGCTATTCTACATTAAATATTAATCATCTCAGTCCAAGTATATGCTCATCTCACCATTCCGCATTGATTTATTCTTATTTGTAATTTAAACTAATACTTATTTGAAGGATATAGGGAGTTAAATGCAAAAACTAACCTTTACTTATTTGGATATAATTTCAATGTTAGGTGCAAGGGTAAACTTATTCTTATTTCAAGAAAAACTATCATATTATTTTAAATGCAAACACCCTCAAATAAAATATTCACTATGCTTAATTTAAGAATAAGTATTTTTTTATACAAATTGGCGATACAATATTTACTTTTGAATTAAATATAAGGTATCTTTATGTAAGTTAAGCAATAATTGTTTCAAAAATTGTCTATTCTTTTTTTAACTTTTGCTCGACTTTAAAGGTTAGGATAAAATGACAATGTTTATTTCAAAAGGTAAAGAGTGGATTATGCTATCTTTTTTTTTTTAAGACTGATAGAGAAAAATAGATGAAATAATCCACTCTTTACCTTTTAAAATAAACATGGTCATTATATCCTAACCTTTAAAGTCGAGCCAAAGTTAAAAAAAGAATAGACAATATTTGAAACAACGCTGTGACTAGAGGCACGTTAACGTGCCGCGATTTGAAATGTTAAAGGCACGTTAGTTACGTCATAAACTCAAACCATCCCAAACTCAACAACACAACCCAACCGACCCCGCCCCATTGCCCCCCCCCCCCCGCCCCATTGAACAAAAAACCCAACTAAAATGGGCAAATTTATGTTACGATAAAAATAAAACACTTTTTAACAAAGGAACAACATATTTATGAAATAAAAAAAGTTCGACAACTTCTAGTAGATTTTATGTTACGATAAAACTAAAACAAACCAACCAAGCCAACCCAACCGAACACTGTTTAACAAAGAAACAACAAATTTATGAAATAAAAAAATAAAAAAAATTCGACAGCTTCTTGGTATCGAACCCCGGACCTCTCGCATGCCAAGCGAACGCCCTACCATATAAGCTATCTAGCTTGATGTCAAATATTAAATGGTCGGGGAACAAAAACGGATTATAATTATGACGTAACTAACGTGCCTTTAATATTTTCAATCGCGGTACGTTAGCGTGCCTCTAGTCACTGTGTTGAAACAATTATTGCTTAACTTAACCTGAAAAAAATGATATTGGTTTATTACATAACTTTTTTACAATGTTTCAAATACCTATCTACCAATATAATATATGTATATTATACTGCAATGATTTTTTCTAACCTTCAGACACGTTGATTTTGTTTGCGAGACGGACATTTTTTGGCTATATTGGCCTGTTTAACCAAAATTTTATTCGTACCTATAATCTAGAAGTAAAATATACAATTGTTTTTTATGTGATTCTTTGACCTAATATCACACCAACATTTAAAATTCAATACATAATACTACACACATAAATATAATTATGTAATAATTATTACCACCACATATTTGGTGGTTAATTCTATCAAATTCCACTAATTTAGCAGCTCTTTCATAATTCCAAACCAAATATTAACCAACACAAGAAACAATTTTCACTTTCGTGAGTGGGGGATATTTTTAAGAATACCAATATTTACTTATCTTAAAATATAATTATATTTATATCCAGTACCTATAGTTTTATATCTTTAAGAACAGAATAGAGGGTATTTTCCAAAATTTGGTCTAATCGATTGTTAATCTTAAATTAAGAATAAGATTATTTTATTTAAAGTCTTTCTAAACATTTAACAGGCAAGAATAAGATCTGCTTGTTTAAAGAAAGATTAATCTTTAGTTTGATGTTAGTTTTAGCCTTGACAATATTAGGTCAATCATCTTGTTTCAACTGTACTTGATTTTAGTCTAAGAAATAAAATCTTTTTAATTTAAGGATAGGTTATGTAATATTTAAAAGAAATTTAATGTATTCGTAGCCTAAGCAAATTATACTTAAATCAAGTGAATTTTGTTAAGAAACATTTAGAAAGCATTTTTTCCGGGCATGTTGAAGAAATAGCCAGATCTTACAAACCCGGTATTTTTTATTGTTAGGTTGACAGCCCTGCTTCTTCATGTTCGCAATACCTACCGTCATCGCCTTCCATGACAGGAGAAAGTCCTGCGCACTCGACCCTTGACCCAGCTTATTTGTGTGTATGTTGTCATTAAAATGTAAAATTGGCAAACATCACTAACGCTATTGTTATTTAGGATCTGACTGAGCCAATAGGGGATTTGATTGGGAATGATAATGATTTCTTTGAGGCACCAACTCAGCAGGAGAACAACGTGTTTTTAAATCCAGGCGCAAGGGACACGCTTATTAGTAACCTTACAAACGGCACTTACAATTTTGCAGCTGTCAATAACGCTAAAAATGACAAAAAGGTAGTGGAAACCACAAACAACAATGCCAAGGTGAATTCTCCTAACATGACAGTGGCAACTAGAATCAACAATAGGTATGTCTTTGTAACAGTTCAAGATTTTATTTTGATTTTTAGCTTACGTTGGTATAAAATAATAATCAAACTAAAACTAATACCACTCAGTTTCCTTGCAGCTTTAAAAATAGTTTTGCCTCCTTCTTCTATAGTACCAAATACTGTTTATTTATTAAAACAAATAAAAATGCCGTACGTTCTACTATAGACGGATTGAGTGATTGTATTTCCATTTTCACGTGCTAATCAATTTTTCAAACAATATAGTACACGAGGCTCAAATCCTTCCAGAGATGATCTTGACCTTCATCTGGAAAGCAGCCAAACTGAGCTTGACTCTCTGAAGGACATTCTGAGCAACTGCAGCTCTTTTGACGCCAACACTCTATTGGGGGTACGAAATAATTTATTTTTATATCATTTCTATTATGTTGCATTATATTATTTTTCGTTAGCTTTTCAACGATGACTCGCCCAATTACGGGATAGGCAACCACGAGTACGAGGCGAGCCATGATGGTATGCAGCTTGAATTTCATAAACTACTCGAATTATTAACTAACTTTTCGTAGCAGAAAACTCGTTGCATTCGAAGGTGATCAGCCTTCCGCCTACGCCTTTGGATTTTACCGAGTTGTTGGATTGTTCCTACGATGATGATTCGAGTTTAAATAGGGACGCCGATTTTTCGTCGCTCGAATCCTCCGATAACCGAAATGGTTCGATTAATACTCCTTTGGTGATAAAAAAGGAACCATTCTTCAAAAACTAGGATCTGTTTTGAGATTATTACTTATTTATCTGTTAAGTTGGCGTATTTGATTAAATTTTTAGGTTTACTCTGCTAAAAACACCCAGGATTGTTGTATTTTTATCATTCATAGTTTCGCAAGAATACGTTAACAATATTTTTGAGATTACTTCTGAGTTTATTTTTGTTCAAAGTTTTCATGTTATTACATTGTAATTATTATGTAGATTAAAAATGATCACATTGTATATTTTCTTTGTACATTTTTTAGTCTAGTCAGGTTTTCTTTGCACGCGGTTTTATTTTGTATATTTACGTTTAAATGATGTTGTGAGTCTGACGGTTACTACTTTCCTTATTTTAAAAATAAGGATTAAACCATTAGAAAAATAAATTGGCCTTCATGTATAACATGGCTGTGTAACGGAAATTTCCTATAAAAAATATTGCTAAGAAGTTTACTTAGTCAAAGAAAAATATTTTTGTATAAAATTTAACTAAACTGCTTGCATTTAGGATGAAAATATCACATGTATTGTTTTTTAATTTAATAATAATGGAAGTTGTATTTTAATTAAGGCAATTTTATTTAAACCCCATTTTAAATAGATAATTGGCATACAATATCGAAATAACTTACCTTAAAGAATATTAAAAAACGAATATGTCATAAGACACAATGACTAGCGAGTTTTTTAATGGACGAGTGTGTTAGTCCTGCAAAAACTCGGAAATGGCTCAAACGATTTAAATTTTTTTTTGTTTTAATGAAAAATACATTAGGAAAAACCGAAAGGAATAGCCGGAAAATCGAAATTCGTGCAACTTTGCATTAATTTGAATAGATGGCGTACATAGCTGCGCTTCAGATTAAATGAAAAAACATAACCAAAAATTCAAGCATTCAATTATTTTAGCGAGAAATTAGTTTAAATAGTAAAGTTCTCAAGGTAAGTTTGACAGATTTGATCAAATGTGAAAACAATTCCGTGTCGTTTTACAGTGTTCAATAAATTGGAGTTGAAAGGTTCATAAGGATTGATAATCGCTTAAGAAGAATTAGGTGCTATTTTTTCTATATAAAATAAGCTGGGAATATTTAAATTAGTTCAGCACCTCATGGATAGGTGGCGCTGGGAACTTTTAAAATTTAAGTGCGCTCAGTTTGGTACTGTTTTTAAAAAGTGTATGTTAACAATAAATTTGTGTTACCTAACTTGGCTTTTATATAAAATATTTATCAAAAAACATACAACAAATGTGTTTAAAACATGTTAAGGGTTGCTACCCCAATTGGTAAGATTTTATTCTACCTAGCTACAGAGGGCGCTAAAGTTATAAAATTTCATATACTTACCAGTAAGTACCTACCTATATGTAAAATTTGAAATGTTCCGCTTCTAACCAATATTTTATGTTTACAATATGACAATAAACATATTGCTATGCATAAAATAAGTTAAATATTCAAATTATTTATAGAAACATAAAAAATTACAAAAAATAATTGTAAAGATAAATAAAAAAAAATTAAATTTAAATTGTCAATAGGTACATACATATATTAAAAAAATAATTTAAGTTTTTAATAATTTTTTTTAATTTATATTTTATAGGTATAGGTAGGTATAAGATATTTTAGGGGTAATATGGTAATAAATATACTAAAAAAAACAAAAAATGTTTTGAGTCGGTAAAATTTAAATAATTGGTTAAGATCACCATAAAAAGTGTGTAAAGTGCATATGAAAGTTTCGTGATTAGATTTGCGGAAAGTTAAGTGATAAAATTTAACATTAATATTCGCGTCATCAGCATAAATTATGCAGTTGAAAAATTCATGGTAGTTTAAACGACCAAAATCATAATCGTAAATCTGCATAATTATGGCAGGAGGAAAAACAAGTGATAAAAAATGTCAGCCACTTAGAGTAAAGCTATTGACTTAACATAAATAAAGGGAAAAATTTCGGGCAAGATAGAACGGATTGCACTATCACACCCCTTAATAATAGACCGCCAATGGGATTCGTCGCAAGGATAATTAAGGGTGGCACCCGAATAGACCGCAACCCACTCGGTAACTATGGTTACGCTACCCTTAACTTCGAAATGGTGATTCCAGTATTCATGTGCTCGCTCTAAAATCTACCACAGATTAGACTTTATTATTATGGAGAAATTAACACAATTCGTGTCGAAGTCATTCGAAAATAATAACAATAACACTATGAGTGAACAGTGTCTGAACTTGACGTATGACGTGAAAAATAATTCGCCACCGATCAAGCTCGAAAAAGATTTCGATGAGGCGAAAAAACCGAAAAACTGGCTCATATCCGACTTGCAAAAAAGCCAATCTCCCACCATTGGGATTGATCTGAGACTCAACACATCCCAAAACGACAACGAAAATGCCGAAAACAGTGAAAATTCCGACAAACAAACAAATTCGACGAAATGGTTAAAAAATAATACGGATGTTAAAAACTCACCTAAAAATAGTTACTGTTCGATGTCGTCTCCAATCGATCTGGAAGATTCGAAATCTTGTTCGGAAACGGTTATAAGTGATAAAAATTTCGACAAAAAGGACATAAATGAGGATAATAATGCTACTGAAGAAAAAATATGTAAGTAAAAGCGTGTATTTTAACAAAAACATTTGAGCGTCGGAAGTCCTTTCAAGGATTACGCGCGCTTAGCAAATTTTAAAATATATTATCTTTTTTTGTTTTTAAAGCAAAAATACAGGGTAAAATTGAAATGCCAGGGAAAAAATTACAGAAATGTCATTAATTAAAAATGTTTAGAAGGATTTTATTTTGTTTATCAAGATTTCACTGCTAGATTTTTTATTTAAAAAAAATATTAAATGATCTATGAGCAAAGTTAGTTGTACTATTAAATACAATAGAGCTAAAATTAAAAACACCCCATAGATAGGAACATGTTTAGGGTTGCTAAAATAATTTAACAGGACAAATGGTTTTAAAAAATCAGGGTCTATTACGCAACAATAAGAAGAAAAATTTTACAAATCTTGTTAACATTTTCTATTTCTTTAATATAGGCATTTTTTTGTTTAATTTTGAAAATTGAGGATTTTTTTGACTTTTGAGGGATTTATTATATATCTTCAACTAAATATTTTCGGAAAATCACGATTTTTCAAAATCAACAAAACTTCATTTCCATTTGTTGGAAATTTTCGTAAAATGACGCGTTGCCCAAATTTTAAAATATATTTTTATTATTATTATTTTGTTTTAAAAGCACAAATATATACAGGTGCCAGGGCAAAATTACAGAAATGTCATTAATTAAAAATATGTTTCCAAGGATTTTATTTTGTTTAAAAAGATTTCACTGATAGATTTTTTATTAAAAAAAATGTTAAATGATCTGTGAGCAAAGTTAGTTGTATACAGTAGTAGGTATACCTTTAATTTTAGCTCAATTGTATTTATTAATTTTTAATTTTAGCTCAATTGTATTTAATATTTATATACTATTAAATACTATTTAATAGTATATATACTATTAAATACAATTGAGCTAAAATTAAAAAACACCCCGTAGATAGGAACATGGTTAAGGTTGCTAAAATAATTTAACAGGATAAATGTTTAAAAAAAATTGGATCTATTACCCAACAATCAAAAGAAAAATTATGAAAATCTTGTTAATCTTTTTAAAATGGGCATTTTTTTTTAATTTTAAAAATGAAGGATTTTTTCGACTTCACGATTCATTACAACTCAATTTGGGAAAATTACAAAAGCATTTATTTAAAATTTGTTTAGTAATATTACTATACAAGTACCTATTGTAATTTTGCTAAAAAAAATTCTAAATATGTTTAATAATTTTAAAATGGTGTATTGTAATAATTACAATTATTATACTATACAATTCATTTTAACTCAGTTTAAGAAAATTACAAAATATATTTTACAATGTTACTGAACTAAAGAAAATTCGTTTCGCAACATTACAATACAAATATTGTTATTTTGTACAGCAAATTACACTAAAAATATTTAGTAATTTACGAATGATGGTATTGTAATTATACTACGAAAAAGAAACCTGTAATTTTCTTAGTTTCTCCAAGAAACTTTCTTGACTTATCACTGTAAAGATTTAAAAAAATTAAACCTTCACCTCGCCAGAGTTTTTGTTTTAAGTGCGTTCCATCAACTTCAAATACCGACAGACAGCTAGATAAGACCCAAAATAGGTATATCTATAGATATACCTATTTTGGGTCTTATCAATGTCGGGCAATTTGGTGTATTGGAACAAACGAAAAACGAAAGACACCTAAGCTTATATACTGTCCACCTAAGTTAACCGAGGCCAGATGTAAAAACATCACGTGATTGCCGTAATCGGTACATACTATGCATTTTACATAACATTATAGTAAATCAAATTACATACAACGTTTGTAAATCTAAGATGCTTTTTATTAGAAACTGTCAAACTGTTTAGTAAAATTACAATGCGTGTAGGATTTATACATATAGAAAAAATTACAACTTATCTTAGTAGATTTCCCAACATGTCTTGGAAGATTACTCAAATTGTATTATAATTTTGAATTGGTATACACTGATTTGTAAATTACTCATCCTTTGTTTTGCAAAACAATTGTCATTTTACAAAAAAATTTAACAGTGTACATGATTAAAATAATATATAGTAAAAATGCAAACAGAAGTTGAATAAAATAAATAATGATTTGTATATTTCCAAACACTTATTGTAATTCAAATAGCAAATTTTGATTTACAAAAGATGCAATACAATACAACATTTTGTAATTTTACTATGCAACTGCTTAGGAAAAATGTAGTAATTTTACAAACATTTTTAACAGTGTTCTTTAAAATTTTATTAAAAAAATTGTTGTTTAGAATAATAAATTTACACTCTAAGAAAGATTTCTAATATCTGATCAATTTTTTTTTGTAAATATAAAATATGGAAAAAATCTATTAAAATACAAGCCACAAAAGGGCTAAAATTTAAAAAAATAAAAAATGTCTTTTGGCAACCCTATACATGCTATTGAAATTATTTTAAACAAATTTAACGCATGCATGCAAAATTTGGGCAAATGAATCCCCAGTAAAAAAATCTCATTAAGAGTTTAAACAACATTCTGTCATGTTACATGTTAATTGTAATCCTTTTAGAAATGTAATCGTCTAGAAATACATATTACACATTAACACACAAGAGGGTGTCCAAAATTTATATAGAAGGGTGCGCATAGAGTTTTACTCCCCCGCTTAAGCCGCCGGACCAGTATGTTGTGTTAGACCAGTCGGCTAACCATTTATTTGCGTTATTAAATTAAAATTTAATCGAATTATAGTGTGAATCCAATCTGATTTAATAGAAGAAATAAAAACTGTCATTGTACTTAATTGTTTATTGGATTATGAACTTGAAATTTTAGTTTGGCCAAGTTTTATGATCTATTTAGACATTTTTTTTCGTATGCTGTAGTTTTTCTATAGAAAATGATCTCTATAGAAAGCAATAAACCAATCAGAGCACGGCATTCTCCACAGCACACTAGGTGGAATGGAGAATGCCGTGCTCTGATTGGTTTATTGCATTTTATAGGTATGAAATTTCAAGGAAATAAAATAGAAGCTAGCACGATTTGTCTTTCGTTGTTAATTAGCACAATGAGGGAATTAATTAAAAAGGATTGTGTTAGTGTGAGAAAAAGTAATAATTTAAATTGGCGAATAAGAGAATATAACAGTCTATAAAAGACGTACTTAGCTCATTTCGATGCAATTAACTAATTATTTCTTCATTTAAGTTAGTTAACATTTAAGAAGGGTAATAGAATACATCTAAACTTCAAGGTACTTTAATTAAGGAAATGTAATTAATTATCATGGTTTAAGTCTCAGTTGAGAAATGAGACAGGCGGTAAAAAATGTCGAAAGGGTGGCACATTAAATGGATTCTCCTCGGGGGCTTAAACGCAGTAAATAAACACCATCTAAATAATCCGAAGAATTAGATTATTTTAACGCAATACTACAACTTGCCCTGACAAATTTAAATTAGGTAAAAGGATTTTCCTTGTTTGATATTCATTTAAATATTTGTTTGTTACGTTTTAAGGACTACCCACATAAATTATTCATTGATATATCTCCTAATTTAACGAAAATACAACACAATATCTTCATTATACAGTGTGCCCCCAAGAATCCCAGATAATTGTTAAAAATATTCTTCCCACTTTAAGTTTAAAAGTTTACGCTCTTATATATTTTTAAATAAAGAAGATTCCCGTTCCCCAGAAACATTCACATCGTGGTCCACGAATGTGAAACACCCTGTATATTAAGCGGTGTTTTTTAGGTTGTGATACCGCAATAAATCCTAAAGCAATGTATAATCGTCAAACTAAAAGACCAAGATTTATTTCCAACATATGGGTCATTTTCAAAATTCTTGCACATTTAAAGAAGAAAAAAGTAAAAACAGAAACTTAATCTGCAATCCTGTTTTTTTTCCAAATTTTGTTTATTGAGGGCCGGTTTATCAATCTCTAGTTAAGTTCCAGTTAGTCTATCTGACGGTTAAATTTCATATCGATCGTTGTGAGAACAATGGTATCCATGGAAATTATCTACCAGATAACTAACTGCAACTTTAACTGGACATTGATAAACCGGCCCTGAGGGGTGTTATTTAACATCTAAAAGTGGGCAGTTGGATTTTTTTAAATAAGCCCTTAAAAAAGAAAAAAAAATGTCTCCTGGGTCACAAATTTACTAACATATTAAAAAAACTTAATCATTTTGAAAATATATTTTTTTGATTGTTAATAATCCTTTTAAGGTTTTATTTACACTAGGATTTGTTAAAAAAAAGAACATAAATTTATTATTTATAAAAAAAATTTAGTACAAAACTAAGTAAAAACTTTCTTACATACATAAGTATTAGGGTACTTCAAAAAATAAAACTTAATTTTTTTTTTCGCTCTTACCCTCTTAAATGTTTCAGCTCAACTCTAAGAGGTCGCTGTTTTTATTTTAGTTTCCCAATTAATTAACATGGGAAAAAATAATTTTATGTTAAAATGTAACGCTCTACAAAAAAGGTCTCTTATTATTTTTCGATAAATTGATTTCTTCTAAAGTTATTCGAGGTCAAAGTTTGATTAACATCAAATTTTCTGGTTTTTAAAATTTTATGGTAGCAGACGGGAGGTGAAAGGGGGCAAAACAAGGCAGCAGGGGGGGGCGCAAAATGGGGTACCCAAAAAATGAGCATATGAAAAACATAAAATTATTTTTTCCCATGTTAATTAAATGAGAAACCAAAATAAAAACAGCGACCTCTTAGAGTTGAGCTGAGACGCCCATATTTGGTGAGGATTTTTTTATATTAAATACAAACATTTGAGAGGGTAAGAGCAAAAAAAATTTTTGAAGCACCCTAATAAGTATATTTAATATATTTTCTGTATTTAAAAAATGTCGATTAAAAAAAGTTATTTTAAGAAATTTTCTTTTAATGCGTATTAAAAACGTTTTTCCTCGATTTTTTATGTGGGCCCAGCTTGTCCAATTTAACGAGCAATAAA